AGATCTAGAGAGGAGTTAAGGGCTTCCAAGTATTAATAATAACCTCAGATCTATCAATAAAGACATAGAGTGGTAGGAGGTGTAACCAATTATTAATAATGCCCTTAGATTTATCAATAAAGACCTAGGGCAGAGTTGGGTGCTGCCAACATCTAGAGAGGAGTTGGGGGCAACCAAGTTTTAGTAATAACCTCAGATTCCTCAATGAACACCTAGAGAGAAGTTAAATGCAGTCAAGTTTTAGTAATAACCCCAGATCCTTCAATAAACACCTCATTAGGAGTTGTGTGAAGCCAAGTTCTGGTAATAACTTCAAGTCTATCAATAAAGACCTAGAGAGGAGTTGGGTGCAGTCATGTTTTAGCATTAACCTTAGATCTATCAATAAAGACCTAGGAAGGAGTTGGGTACAGCCAAGATTCAATAATAACCTCAGGTCTCTCAATAAAGGCCTAGAGAGGAGTTGGGAACAGTCAAGTTTTAGTTATAACCTTAGATCTATCAATAAAGACCAAGAAAATATTTTGGTGCAGCAAACTTTTATTAATAACCTCAGACATGGAGAGAAGGTGGATGCAGCCTTGTTTTAATAGTAACCTCATACCACTGTAGTGCAACCATAATCCTCCAAGTATTAAGTTGATCACTGTTATTTTTATTCTCATGAACATATGTTCATTACAATACATATATAAATACAGAAGGATTTATAACTATAAAATATCACCCAGGTAAAAATATTTAATTACTTGAAACTTCTGTCAGTATTCTTTGCGCTTTCAGACTATCTTTCAGGGGAAGAAGGTATGTTACCAGCAAAATGGTGCACATATCTCAAAGACTAGCCTGGCACTAAAAATATACCCCCTTGCTATTTACCTCTCCTACAGCCATGCACCCCTTGTAAAATGAATTGCTCTAGTCAAGCACCAAGTTAAGGTGCATGCAACCCAAAAAAGACATGAAGAGCACCTGACCTTTCTTGAGTGGTAGGGAATGGTTGTGACGAATGATGACTGAGAGTTGAAAGGAGACACTATACTAACATTTACATCACTGATGGAAGGGTGGGGACTGTAGTGAGGGTGGTAGAAAGAGAGTGGCATGCTAGGGAGTGAAGTGTAAGGTATACGTTAGAAAATGTAGGTAAAAAGTTCTTATGGTGCTGACTGAGGAAGCATTACTTTTTGATAACCTCTTCTTGGTTTTCAAGGTGGGCATTGCTTTTGTCTAAAAAAACACTTACCTGTGAAAGCTGCATGCTGTGGAAATTTCCCCTTTTGCTAGATTTTGAGATAAGGTAAGATAGTAATATTATAAAATCAGTAATATTATACCTGCTGTAATTTTGACAAAAGTTATTATCATTCTAAGAATTTTTTGGACAATTGAACTCATTCTTTTTGTCGCATGTGTTATTATCATGTTTTTGTTTTTTGTTTTTTTCTTTTACAATTCAACAGACTCTTTCAGGTGAAAATCTGTATGGATTACAGATTAGGAACATTACTGAAAGGTGAGAAACTCAAATAAAATTGATGACTAATATATTAGTATATGGAATTGCTTGTATTAGATGGGATACTAATAAAAAAAAAATAGACACTGTTACAATGTTTACAAAGAATGGAATAGCCTGTGTTACATGTTTTTGCTAAAAAAAGAAGTAGCCTGTATTACAGTAGTTACTAAGAATGGAGTAGACTGTCACACTGGATACTATGAAAGGAATAGCCTGCATTACACTGTTTACTAACAATGGAATAATCTATGTTACATTGCATACTATGAAAGGAATAGCCTGCATTACACTGTTTACTAAGAATGGAATAACCTATGTTACATTGGGTACTATGAAATGAATAGCCTGCACTACACTGTTTATTAAGAATGGAATAGCCTATGTTACATTGCATACTATGAAAAGAATAACCTGCATTACACTGTTTACTAAGAATGGAATAGCCTATGTTACATTGGATACTATGAAAGGAATGGTAGAAAAATTTTCATGAAAATTCACCATCCGCATCTTTATAAACATTTATTTCCAGTAATTGACAATTTTCTTTTTTTCCAAAATTGGGTCAACACTGCTAAGCAGTGATGATATAAGAATGCCACAGTTAATGTTAAAAGTAAAGGAGAACAATGAATACTAGTTTCTTTTTTATTTTTATTATCAAAACAATTTATCAATTCTTTATTTTTCCCCCAATGAGCCAGCACAACCAGACAACAATGCTATAAAAAGTGAGTTTTAAAAGTAGGATGGAATAATCAAGACTGTCCCTCTTTTTTGACCTTGTGTTATGCACATGTATAAATTGAAGTTCTTTTCTATGAGGTTTGATTTGTAAGCAGAGGAACTTAAGCGCCAAGTGTGGATCACCTTAGTAACTCTGAGTTTTGACTTACCTGACAATTGGTCTAGAGTGAACTCTCCCTCAGCAGTGTAGGCTTTAAAGCAAACCAGCCTTAGTGCAATCATTATGATAGTTAAAAGGAAGAAAATGTTGAGTATGTCTCTTTTTTGGGTTGAACGGTTTGTCTACACTCTATTGGCCAGCTGACAACTTGTATAAAGTCCAGTTAATTCATGCACATCAATGTGTGACAGTCCAGTACTTTCCGGTCTACAGTGAAAGAAATTCGACACAGATCAGAAATAATGATGAGGTCATAACATTAACACCCAATTTTGGAATTTAAATAAAATGGTAGGTAAATATGGATTCCAACTTACCTATGCTAGAACAAGTGATTTTGGATTGATATGTTATTTCATTGAGTCTATGTCAGCAAAACATACACACACACACACACAATACTATGCCTAAACATGCACACAACACACATATGTATACAGCACACACACACACACACACATAAACATCACACACATATCAAATTCACAAACAATTACTCATAAACACATATACACAATACACATACAATATACTGGCACAAAACATAAAATCATACTTAACACAGACACACACACACGGGATACACATATACACAAGACACATATACACAATACATTTGCACACACACACATACAATACTCATAGCATGCACATACACAATGCACAAACAAACACACAGAACACACATATACAGATACAAATCACAAATATGCACACACATACACTAAACACATACAACACACATATACACTACACGCAAAAAGCTCATATATACACTACACATATGCCGCACACACATACACTACAAACAAACAAGCACACACATACACTACACACATGCAACACATGCATACACCATGCAAAAATAAGCACAAGCATCCACTACACAAACAAATATACGCATACACTAGATACATACAATACATACATATACTAGACAAAATTACCATGCATACACTGCACTCATGCAACAGAGATATGCACTATACACAAATCCAGATACACGATACAAACACATATACAAGCATACATGCACACATACAAATGCAGACACGACATACATACATATAAACACACAGAAATGCATACACACACACAGAAATGCATACACACACACAGAAACAGAGACACAGCATACAAACACACATACAATAAAATTGCAACACTCTTAATTCTAAGTAGTTGACTGTATATCACAAACTGGCAGATAAACACAGAAGCAACACACAATCACACATATACACTCACAATATGCAATCACATGCATATACATATACACAACTGGCACAAACACACACATACACAACATGACAATAAATGCTGACATATGTAGATCAATATGCACACAAGTTCTAAAATAAAGCATGTATAAACAATACTCCATATTAATACACTGCACATACTTCTTGGGTGTGAACATCGGCTTTTTCTCTTGAATGCCTATGATCAAATAGATCACAAATACCATCCTGTGCTACATTATTTCATGCCATTTGAATCTGTTGATGTTATATGAAAAAAGTTCTAGGTGGGCTCACTGAACATATCGGGTGTTGTCCCATATATATTCAAAGGAGGAAAGATAGGTCAGCCAGGAAAGTTGTCATACATCTTGTGGAGCATTTTCAGTAGTACAGACATTATGTGGGCGGATATTAACCTGCTACAGCAGCATGTTGCCTTCCTGTTGAAAGAATAGTAACAGTTTTGATTTGTCTTCTACAATGATTGCTAATCAAATGTAGAGAACCCAGTCTACTTTGCTATTAACCTTTAGCTGAAAGAAAAAGAGATGGATTCATGCCTTTGCTAAGTGTTCTGGTACAAAAGCAAATACAACAGCTTCAGCTTGTAGCTCTTTTCAAGACAATGCTCTCCAATGACTACAAAACTGTTCTTTTCAAGACAGTGCTCTCCAGTGTCTACAAAACTGTCCTTTTCCGGACAATGCTCTCCAATGACTACAAAACTGTCCTTTTCAAGAAAATGCTCTTCAATGACAACAAAACTGTCCTTTTCAAGACAATGCTCTCCAATGACTACAAAACTGTCCTTCTACACTCTCTACATGAACACGCAGAGATATTCTTTGCCTAGTGTACTGTAACCTTATTCTTTTATGTATTTTCTTTAACAAAAACTGAAGATGAAGTATTATGATTATTTACATTATTCAGACTATTACATTGTGAATATGGCAATTCAAACTGTACATAATATGTGTGAGTTTATGGGGTGGGGGATATGCTCCTACAATTCAAAATTCAGTTTAAAACTAAGCCGCTAGACTACCCACAGAGATGATTTGATTATTGTTGCAAAGGGTTGTGGAGAACTTGCCACACATTTTAAAAGAACTGATAACAGAGAAATGATGAATAATATGCCACATAATATCCTAACAGTTTTCCTAATGTTCTAATATCACCAACAAGAGAAGCCCATCTGCATTAATGTTTAATCCATAACTGAAGAAAAATAGATTGATGCTTTTTCCTTGGCATTACTATGAATAAATGAAACAGAATCGACTGTAACTTGAACTCAGCTCACGGATCATACTTTCTGCAGCATTAAGTGTTACACTGCTGACATCTCTCTCTCTCTCTCTCTCTCTCTCTCTCTCTCTCTCTCTCTTCTCTTCTCTTCTCTTTCTCTGTCCTCTCTCTCTCTCCCTCCTCCTCCTCTTTCTCTTCTTTCTCTCTTTTTATCTCTCCTTCTCTCTATTTCTCTCTCTCTTTCTCTCTCTCTGTGCTCTCTCCCCTCTCTCTTTTTCTCTCTTTCTTTCTCTCTCTTCTTCTCTCTCTCCTTTTCTTTCTCTGTCCTCTCTCCCCCTTCTCCTCTCTCTCTCCCCTTCTCTCTTTCTCTCTTTCTCTCTCTCTCTCTCTCTCTCTCTCTCTCATTCTGTGATGGGAATTTTGAGCATTTTTAAATGTCAGTCTATCTTCTTCTATGTGCCCTATCCCTTCAGGATATAGGGGATCATGGCTCTCCACAATTTCCTGTTCTTTGTAGCCCTTAATAAATTTTGTCATTTTGTTATCTCTCCTAAACCTTGTTCTTTCATCCATTTACTCAAGCTCACTAGATAGACTATGCATTGTTTTCCTCTGTCCTTCTTGCCTTCAATCTGTCCTGTGAGTATCAAATTTTCTGAGCCATCTTTCCTCATTATGTGCCCTTAAAATTTCAACTATCTCTTCCAGATGCTAAGTATAAGTTTTCTTCTTGTTTCCATTCTCTCCAAAACCTTGTCGTTGCTCACTTGTTCAGTCTATGGTATTATCAGCATCCTTCTGTAGAACCACATTTATTTTGTTTCAAGTCTCTACTTCATTTTTGAGGAGATTCTCCAGCATCCACTGCCATATAGGAGGATTGATGTTACATAAGAATTCAGTACTCTTTTCTTTGTTTATAACAAAATGTTTCTATTTCTTAATACTTTGTTTAACTTTTTACTATCATAATACTCCTTCATATTTCAGTGTCACACTTTCCATCCTCTGTTAAAACACCTCCCAGATATTTAAATTTTTGTACTTGCTTCATTTTAGTATCTCCAATTTGTAATTTGCATACTGAGTTTCTCCTTTTGCTAACAACCATGCATTCTGCCTTCTTCCATTTGATGTTTAGTCCTTTCTTCTTGCTTTCCTTCGTTACATTCTGTAGGAGTTCTTTTGTTTCCTTTCTGAGTCTGTTATCAACACCATGTCATCTGCATACCTTATGTTGTTAAGAGTGTGGCTACCAATAATGAATTCTCTTAAAATCGCCTCATGATATAGGTTGAATAAGTCTGGTAAGAAGAGACATCCTTGTATTACACTCTTTTCTATTTTTTCATATTTACCAAATTCATTTTCTATCCATAATACAGGTGGATTGCTGCCAGTATAGGTTCTGGATAATTCTAATGTCCTTCCCAAATATGTCAAGGTTGCATAACAGTTCCAACAGTTCTGTGTGACATACTTTAATAAACACCTTTGCATAATCTATAAAACATGGGTACACCTCCTTCTGCATTTACATTATGTCTTCTGATATTCTGAGCATAAATATTGCATTCCTTGTTCCAGTGTCTTTAATGAAACTTCTTGTCCTATTTCCAGTCTGATTCTGCTGTGCACTCTATTCATTAGAATTTAGATACGTTTTATTATATGGCTCATTAGGCTGATTGTTTGATAAAGTTTTGCACCTGGCTTCTTAGGCAGTGCTATAAAAATAAATCTACTTAGGTCTGCCGGTATATCACCACTGTTGTATATTTCATTTATTATGTCAGTAATTTTGCCAGTGCCAAAATAACCTAAGTCTGCTAGCATCTCTATTATGATTCTGTCTGATCCTGTTGCTTTGTTTCTTTTCAATTTGGCCAGTACTGATTCCACTTTAGATTTTACTATTTCTGGTACTTTATATGGCATTACTCATATATATATATATATATATATATATATATATATATATATATATATATATAGGGCTGGCTCAGGGTACTGGTAACTCAGACAAATGCCCAAGGCACCATCATGCTGTTATGTCATTTATTTGGGAACTTCTTCCAAAACTAAACCTTATAAAAACATACTTGCAGTCTTGGCTATTTTGTCAGTCGAAAATGATCTTCTAAAGAAGATAGGTGTAGAAAGTGCCTTAAAAAGATTTGCAATCTAAAGACTATAAAAAATGTTTTAGGTAGGATGTTGAATGTTTTCTTTAGCTTATGTTACAGTTTATATTGTAATAAACTCGTTATTCTATATTTTCAGTTTTTCTCCTTGTGAAAATTTTAAAAAGTTATACTTGTAAGTTCAGTTTGCCAAGGGGTACCATACAACAGCTATTTGTAATTATGAACACATCAAGGCAGATAGATAGAAGGTCAGTTTTGATAGTCTGAGAACACTGAGAAATTTTCCACATCTCAATAGTAATTGCTTGATATCATTTCTGATAGTATAGGGAAAAATCTGTACTAATTTTGGTATTTTGTAAAATATGTGGGAGGTATAGCAGTTAACAACTTGGAAAGAGAAACTGGCATGCTGAGTCCAAATTCTGACTGAATTTGTTACATTTACTTTTGCACAAAGGCACTTGGAAATCAAATGATCCATCTCTTTTTCTCTCAATTTTCATGGTGACTGTTTTGGTGAGTTTTTCTCTTTGGTACGTAGACTTTATGTACTAGATTAGCAGCAAGGTTTCATCATTTTACAGTAGAAATTCATTGGGGAGGTATCATACCTTGAAAGACTATTGGGCCTCAAACACACACCTGACCTCAAGTGGAATTCATACATACAATCCATTGCTAAGGATGCAGGTAAAATGGTCAGCTCCCTGTACTGCTCCAGTAAGTACTTAACTCCTCTTGCTATCTTCTAACTTTACAAGAGCCAGCTTTGGGCGGCAGCTGCCTAGACCTCATTCTCCAGCTTTGATAGAATCCAAAAGCATCTTTGAGCCCTTGTGGGTGACAAATTATTCTCCACCTTCTAACCTTTTTCAAACAGGCAACATGTGGTGAGCATCTTGCTGCTCTATCACTACTTCCACAGAAAGTGTCTAGACGTTCCCTGGTCCCACCAATTCAAATCTTCACGGCAAGAACATGCCATGCCATAACACTTACATAGTAGCAAACCACCCACATTCCATCAGTAAGAAGTAAGTTCCCTTCAAACAGCTCCTTCCTGCAAATCTGTGGAACTGACTCACAAGAGGATGTTTCCTCGATCACTTTGATCTTAACCTGTCCAAGGCTAGGATTAACCGTTATCTTCCACTCCTATACACACAAATTGCCTCCTAATGTAATCCTGTACCTTGAGTGGCCTCCAGGCCTTGTAAAGGGTGAAATTTACAGTGAAAAAAAAAAAAAAAATATGTTCTCTGCTAGCATTTTCTTCTTTCACACATCTTGCTTGTGGAACTCTCTTCTGGTTTTTTGCTTTTCAGTCAACTTTGATCTTCAAAAATTTAAATGCAATGTCAGTTGTCATCTTCTGTCTTCTTAATTCCTGTCCTTTTATTGTTCTCTCTCCTTTTTCTTTTTCTTGTATTCTTTCACACTCAGTAACCCCTTGTGTCATAGCGTCCTTACTGCCTTACTTAGGGTGAAATGATTAAAAAAAAATTTGGGTTAAATAGTTGGGCTAACTGGGCTCTTGGTAGCAACCAATCTAGAATCTGAATTCAAAACCAGCCTGAAGACACACTACTGCTGCTATATACATATATGATGCTCCTACAAATCTAATGGGCCATGGAACTTATGATGTAACATATTGTGATGTGAAATGACATATAAAGCTTACTTTTGAAAAGTAAGACATACCATAAATAAATAAGATAAAACAGACACTAACAAAAATGTACATAGTACCAACTATTGAATGTACCACTTAGGAAAATAAAGAAACTCAAGCTAATTACAAGTTCTAATGGTTTTACTTTCATTTAATAACTCCTACCAGTGATATCATAACTTATGTGCGTGTATTTGTATGTAACAAGTGTGCAAGCTACTAATGAAAAAATAATTTTATTTTATGCAACAAATATTTATTTTTTACATAATCTCTTTCCTTGTTAATGCACTCAATTCAGTTATTAATATTAATCACGTAGATAACATTATACAGATAAAAATTATTTCATATCAAAATTAATAACTCAAATTTGTTATTTTATATTCCAGAAAGTCACTTGATGATACATTTTAATGTAATTATACATTTTTAAATTAGCCCACAAGAAAAAGCTAAAACTCATTCTAACAAACAAAAAAATCAAGTAACTTTTGAATGTATTTATGTGAAATTTCTTGTGATACACTTGGTAAAAAGGCGTAAAATTTACAAACAAACGATATCAATGAATATTGAATATGATTCAAATTTAAACTGATTCAATGACAAATATAATGCAAGGGAAACAATTCAAATAAAAGTTACTTCCCTTCTAAGTTAACCTTGTTTCTGTTTTTTTAATCTTTCTTTTTTTCATTTCTGTAGATTTTGAAATGTAAAGGTATCGCTTTCGTTATACTGTTGAAATTATCATTCTAAATTTTAATGGCTATAGATCTCATTTTTTTGATAGTATAAAATTTCAGCTGATCTATTCTTTCTAGTCATGTCCACAAATGGTGGAAAACAAAATAAAAGAAAAAGAAACATAATTTCTGTTTCGGGGATGAGGAGTTATTATTTACCATTTTAGTTTACATGCTGACTATTGTTCTCGCTTTTGATGTTATCACAATATTACAATATAGCCTAGTGGATTAAATTGTTGGTTTGTGAATTTGGTGATATAGTAATTGTGAGTTCAATCCCTGGACAAGAAAGTGTATTCAGTGTTCATGGATACTGTGGAAACAAAGCAATCAATAACTGAGCAGTACTAAAAATAAGAATTAGACAATATATCCCTAGATATGGACATTAGAAGAGAACAACTACTCATGGACATGGTGTTCCAAAAGTCACATTACCACTGATAACCTTGTAAATCTTATATTTATTAACTAAATGGAATCATGTTTCTGTATGTGACAATATATTAAGAAATTTTATTGGTCGAATTATGGAAGATGATGTCATGCAAGTTTTCCTTGGTTGCTATTTCACAAATGTATGTTTTCTGCCAATTGTTGTGTGACTTTTGGAACACCTTATAAATGAAATAAAATATTTAATTTGGAATACCCTCTAGATTGCAGAAAATTCAGTCATCCAGTGTATTTTTTTATATTAAAAATATGAATGTTCAAATTCCAAACAATAATAAAAATGAAAACAAAGAAAACATGATCTCATGCCTGTTAAGTAAATCATTTTTATTTACAAACATATGTACATGAATTCAAAATAGTAAAAATAGACTT